TCCATAGACCTCCATAGACCTCCATTATTTGAATGTCAGCAGACAGCAAGAAGCCTCCCAGATCTCCAGATGCATTTGAGATATCAAAAAAGTACTCCAGAGTGTTGTTCAGCATGGGGGTGAGTAGAAAATGAAGGCTAATCATGTTCTGGGTGTACTATTCCTTAAAGGGGAAGGAACCAGCCACCAGCGCACACAGCAAAAACGTCAAAGCTTATTTCTTTTACCGACATGGGAAAATCTCACCAGTTATCATAGTGAATGACGGTAATGGTAAAAATATGGTTTATCACCCAGCCTATACCGTAGTAGAACTTTGGGCTGATTTGGTTAGGAGAAAACACATCTCCGAACCTCCTTCTCTATTAACTAATTGCTAAAATAACTTTTGCATAAAGAATCTGTACACTGACCCATTCTTATCTGAACCCCAGAACCTGCTTAAACACAAATGCCCTCTGTGAAAAGCAATCAGTAAAAACAGATCAAAGAGGTAGAAACTATCCAGTAGGGCAAGAGGAGAGGATATCCCTCACAGAAGCGCTTGGTTTTATAGCCTCCATGTCCCAGCCGCAGCAGATAGCCATCAGCCAGGAGGATAAATCACCCCAAACTACCGCGTCTGCATCTCTTTCTTCAGACACAGTTATTATTCCAGCTCTGGGTAAACAAACGCGGGGAAGAGTTATGTGGCGGCTTCGTGCGCTCAGATGGGGAGATCTCTCTACATCTGCATCACTCAGTAGAGTTCAGCCTCCATCAAGCGGCTCAAAGCTGGGAAGGATGACAAAGCAAACATACTGGGAAGGCTTTTAAGTTTCGCCTTTTGTACCCTCTTAGCCTGAGAAAGCTACTGGACTACAACTGAACTGTGACCAGCCAGTCAGTAAATTCACCAGTAGGGGAAAAAGAGATGCCATGTTTAAAAATTCGACTCATGATGATCGCATGAATATGATCTAAGCTGGAAACTACTGTAAAGCCACAAAAAAAGTAGACTTTTAGTATGAGGAGGTTCCAAAAAAGGGACTAAAATGATGAAGTCAGATGGAGAAAACAGAGTTTAGCACATGCTAGTCCAGCACACTGTAAAAAAGAAGTAGCTAAATCAGGAGTTGAGAAGCAGAGAAGGAAAAATGAATCGAAACAATAAAATGTGAAGGTGGTTGTGAAAAGAATGAGAAGAAAAGAAAAACAGAAGATTTGGGCCAAGTGAGGAGAGAGAGAAGGCGAGAGGCAGAGTGAGCCAAAGGCCAGCTTCTTCTGGGCCTTAGCGGCCACTTCAGGGCCACACTTCACAGTGTAAAAATACTGCAGACCCCCCCCAACCCCCAGCTGACGCCTCCGACCCAACACTGTGCCAGAGAGGGAGAGAAAGGGAGAAATTCTGCTATACAGATCCCCATTAGACAGTATTTAACACAAAGACTGATTTAGCTTCAACAAAATGTTCATTTAATGCAATAAAAGCACATAAGTGATCATTTGTTCACAAATATTTTCATATTTACGCATTAAGGAAAGGAAGGAGAGATTACAATCTGAGAAGGTAAATGTGTATGTCTTTTCTGCCCTCTTTACACTGATACCTAAAATAAAAGCAAAAGATGTCAGCCGGCTTCAGAGGAGTCGTATTCAGAAATCAGCGTGCAGCTTTGTATCATTTTCTCTGATTCTAATTGGCTCAGGTCTCAGAGGTTCTCTAGAGAACGTTGGAGAACAACCAGCATCACGATCACCAAGGAACCCAGCAGAAAGGTCAGGAGGATGTTCTGGTTCAGTTTACAGTAAGGATGGGTGATTGGGCGAATCTATTATTCGACCATGGGCAATAGACTCAGCTTCGACGATCGCTTTTTAGGAGGGTTTTTTTTTTTCTTTTTTTTTTGGGATCTACAGGTTAAGACGCAGTCCACGACATAAAAGAATAACTTTTTTAATGGTACACACACTCTCCTTCCAGCTGCAGCTTTCTTCGCCAGTGCCATCGTGCCGCAGCGATTTATCTACTTAAACCTGAGACAGACAGAACCGATCTGAAGCAGAGACTAGCTTATTTTTTGTTAACTGCCAAACAAGAACCTGTCAGGATTCCTGTCTGTGTGTGCTTTTTCTGTGTTTGTCTCCCTTCCTCCACCAGGAGGCGCCTGGTTCTGGTCCGCCTCTCCACACACCTGCTGTGAGTTACCTCATTAATGGAGCGCTCTTAAGCTGCTGACTGCCACTACCACGACGCTTGTCTTGTCTTGTCTTTGCCTCTCGGCAGAAAGTCATCCTGCAAACAGGATGTTTCAGGCCTTCTCTCCCTGGAAGGATCATCTTAGCTTCAAAATAAGTTGAGTATTCAAACAGGAGGTTTGAATCCACTTTCCCTCAAGA